GGAGAGATTGCACACATCCCCATTCAAACAGGTTTGGCAGCTCGGTTTCTCGTCCCAGCCCCCGGACCTTCCACTTGAGACCCCAAGAGCAGCTACAGAGCCGCTTCCTGTGTTGGTTTCCTCCCACCCTGTCTCCCCCCTCCCCCACCCCACCCCGGCCTGGGTGGACGAGGGCAGAGTAGCAGGCTGGAAGCATGTAGGAGACTGGCAGTGTCTGCTCTAAGGGCATGTCTGAGACCCTTGACCCTGACTGGCTCATTTGCAAAGACAGCGAACCCTGTAGACAGAAGGCAGCTGTTGGCTCTGCCCAGGACTCTGCCCACATGCCCCTGCTCACTCCTGCAGGTTCTGGCAGGCAGCGGGGAAGGACTGGGCAAGGAGTGAGGAGAGAGGAAGGGGGAAAGAGGAGAGAGGAAGGGGGAGAGGAGAGGAAAAGAAGTTAGGGGAGTGCACATAAAAGTGGGGTGAACCACAGAGACGGAAACCGCCATGTCAGAGGAGGAGAAGCATCCTTGGGGAGGCAGGGAGAGGAGAGTCAGGACAGGAGAAGGGAGGACTGTCCAGCCACGCAAACCTGGCTTCCACCCCGGCATCAAGTTCAATGTAAAGAGCAAATTGAATTCTGCAAGAGGCCAAAAAGCGTTTCCTCTTCTCAGGTGCAGGAACTTCCTGCATGCGTTTTGCTTTATAAATAAATTATTGTTCTCAAATCTCAGAAAGCGACTCCCTGAGGTGGCTGGTGCTTTTTCTTCTTGATGGGCAAGGAAATGCCAAGCTTGGCCTGGGGCCTGGCGTTTGCTGCCCCCCACTGGCCAAAGCCCTGCTCTGCTCCCTCCCTCTGATAGGAACCGGCTGAACCTGTGCTTTGGTGATTGGTTAAGGCTGAATGGTTGCCTCTGCTGACTCTGTGGTCCCAGACTATTAGCACGGGAAGGGATTGAGGTCCCCAGGCCCGACCACTGCCCTAAGCTTTAGACTTGAGCTTCGGTCAGCCTGCTGGCTCTTTCCACTTGGCCTCAAACTTGGCAGGTCCACGATGTGGTTCATCTTTCAGTCCTGCCGGCTCTGTGCGCATGCTCCTGATGTCAGTGACCAGCACTTGTCCACCCTGTCACCCACCCCCGAGACCTCACAGCTGCTCCTCTTGCTCAGCCTCTGCGCCTCATTCACCACAGATCCTGCCAAGACCCCCGAGACCCTCGCTCACTCTCATGGGACCCTTGTCATCTCGCCAGTCAGCCCTCACCCTCTCTCATCCACCCATGTCAACAGCTTCCCGGAGCTGTCCTGTCCAGGCAGACTTCGTCAATATAGATCAGGAGTGGGAAATGTTTCTTCTGGCCAAGGCCATTTGGATATTTACAATGTCATTCGCAGCCCATGCAAAATTATCAACTTAAAAACTAGCCTGCTGGCCCGGCCGGTGTGGCTCAGTGGTTGAGCATCCACCTATGAACCAGGAGGTCATGATTTGATTCCCGGTCAGGGCATATGCCCGGGTTGCGGGCTTGATCTCCAGTGTGGGACGTGCAGGAGGCAGCCAATCAATGGTTCTCTCTCATCATTGATGTTTCTATCTCACTCTCCCTTCCTCTCTGAAATCAACAAAAACACGTTTTTTAAAAATTAGCCGGCTGTATTTGGTCAAACATTTAGTGAACTCACCCCTAATACCTTACCAGACCAAGTGATTTCTTGGGCCTTACAGGGCCCACAGGTCCGATGTTTCTGATAACACAGACAGCGATGTGAAGATAAGATACAGAGGTAGGTGATGTGGGTGTGGACATGGAGCTACGTGTATTTAAAGATCTCCTGCTGGATCGAGTCCATACCCTTCCCTTGGCCTGCAGAGCCCCTCCCATCCCCTCTGCCTGTCTCTCCAGAACGACCGTATGTCCTTTGCCTTTGATTCCAACAGCGGGGCAGTTGTTCATCCCTGAAGTCATTTCTATCCATTCTCCAAACACTCACGGGTTCCTAATAAGTGCCAGACTCTGAGACAGTCACTGAGGTTCAGGGAGAAACCAGATAGTGTCCGCCCTCAGGGAGTGGAGCCTCAGAGACCAAACACACAGGCGCAGCCCAGACTCAAGCTGATGAATGGGCGGGGGTTTACCCTGCTCTGTAGACACTGGATGCATGTGGCACAGATTCCCATTCCACACTGTTAGTTTTCTATGGCTGCATAACAGCGGCTTATAAGCAGCACATTATTGTCTCGCGGTTTCTGTAGGCTGGGCACAGCTTCACCGAGTCCTGGGCTTGGGGTCACAGAGCAGTTTGGGGCTGGGTGATGTTCCTTTGTACAGCTTGGGGGTTCTCCGAGCTCACCCGGTCGTGGGTCTCACCTACATGCTGGCTGTCAGCTGGGGGCTTCTCTCGGGTCCTAGAAGCCACCAACGTTTCTTGCCTTGCCGCTCTCCAGCCCCTTCACAGCATAGCTCACGCCAAGGCCAGCAGGAAACTCGCTCGCTCCATCCTGCTAAGATCGAGTCTTACATAAAGGAACATCGTCACAGGCGCGTCTCTCATTGCCTTTGCTGCATAACGAAACCTAATTGAGGGAGTGACATTCCATTATCTTTGCCTTGGTCTGTTGTTAGAAGCAAGTCAGAAGTGCCGCCTGCACCCACGGAGGGGGCGTATGCCAGGGCGTGACTCACTGGGAGCAGACTTGGGGCAGGCCCACCGCACACGCCTCGTGGGGATCTCCCCAAGGGTTACACACACTCTGGATACGGAGCGTAGGTAGGATCTCTCTGAATGAGGTCAACTGTGGGACGCCGAGCGCTTCTCTCTCCCCAGCCACGGGCTGCAGCTCCGTGTCCGATGCCAACTCAAGACAAAGCCACTCCCACAGGCTGTGGTTGATGGGTTGCGTTGCAGGGCCACAAGCCTAACATTTTAGATGTTCTTGTTCTTAAAAACCCTTCAGCACGCGGTGAGGTGTGTCCTCTCTATCATCATTCCCAGCCCTGAAAACCAACTCCCGCCTCCAGTTTCTTTTTTTTTAAGCAAATTTTATTGATTTGAGAGAGAAACATTGATTTGTTGTTCCACTTATTTATACAGTCATTTGTGGATTCTTGTATGTGCCCTGACGGGATCAAACCTGAAAACTTGGCTTATGGGGAGAATGCTCTAACCAACCGAGCTACCCAGCAGGGCTATTTCTTGGACATTAAAGAACAAAATATAGCCTCTTCTTTTTAAAAACCAAACTATCATCCCAGCAGACTTTTGATATTCAGAATTTCCAATGAAAACAAAGATTTACTATAGTGAAAATATAGGTAGTCATCTCACTTCTCTCATGTGCAAACGCAGACGAAGGGGCTGAAGCATGTAGCTTCTGATTCCAGCCAGGTCCGTGCTGTCCAGCTGGTGTCACCTCTCCGATTGCTCTCTTGTGATCAGGGGTCGTTGTCAAGTGGAAAATGGTAAATGACCCTTCAGTCTTGGCTGAGAAACATTATCTATTCAATTAATGGCCCATAAAATGATTTAGGTAAAAGGCAAGCCTGCAATTTCTTTTTCCAAAGGAGAAAAGACGATACTAATTTACCAAACTTCAAGCTTTCAAAAGGTGCTAGGAAATGTAAAATACCACTTGCATAGGATTGTAGAAGCCACAGAGGAAACTAGAAGCTACGAGGCAAAGACTCCAGGCACGTTTTGAAGAGGAGGGATGTCACCAGTTTCTTTCTGTCTATGTGAACATTTATGCTTGTTTGATTAGCCCAACCTTTATGGAATGAGGTGGACAGTCATTGTATGTTTTTTAAAATGAAATGTCCACCCCTGGCTGGTGTGGCTCAGATGGTTGGGCATTGTCTCATGCACCACCAAAAAGTCGCTGGTTCAACTCCTGGTCAGGGCGCATGCCCAGGTTAGGCTCGACCCTTGGTGGAGGGCATACAGAAGACAGCCGATCAATGCTTCTCTCTCACATCTATGTTTCTCTCGTTCTCCCTCTCCCTTCCTCTCTCTCAAAGAAGCAATAATTAATATATATGAATCTGGACAGAAATTGTCAAGAAGTCTCCTCCCTATGAGGCTGTTAACTTCATCAATACCCAAAGAGGTTCTTTAATTCAGGACCGTTCCACTTATTTATACAGTCATTGGTTGCTCCTTGTGTGTGCCCTGAACAGGTATCGAACCTGCAACCTTGGCTTATCGGGACAACACTCTAACCCACTGAGCTACCCGGCCAGGGCCCTCCTCCAGTTCCTTCATTTGTGTTGCTGAGGAAGTTAGCAGTCTCATGTCTTAAGGGTTGCAACTTCCACCTCGTCTGGCTCCGTACACGGTTTCACTAGACGAAAGGGGTCCCACCCGAGAGGGACTCTGGGGCCAGGTGTTGGGATGGCGTCCTGCCTCAATGTGGTGGCTCCTGTTCTAGCAGGAAGAACGCTCGGCAATCTCACAAGTGATTCTGAAGATCCCCAGTGGAAAGAGGTTCTTTCCTTGAGCACCTACTGGCTGTAAAAGGCAAAACAAACAAAAAGGAAACTTACTAAGACGTGGTGATCGAGGCCTTCTCGGGACGGACCACGTTTCGGAAGGAGTTTGTGTTTTCCTTACCCTGAGAACTTTTTCATATGTTTTAGCACCATAATCTGGTATGAGCAGGACTTGTCATTCATGCGTTCACATTCCTGATGGTTTACTTAAGCGTGTGAAGACCTGTGGTCTTTGGGGGGCCTGCAGCCCCCGGGGTTGGGACCAGGTGTTCTAGTGTGGATTCCAACTAACTAACCGATGCCACTAATGAACTGTTAAAGCAGAAATATGCACAGCCTTGCCTTCTTTAACTGGAATATTAACCTCACCCGCCTTGCATTTTGTTACGAGGTTAAACGGAATATCACGACACATGCCCATGCCCAATGGAGGTTGTGGCGTCCATCCCACTGTCTGTCACCTTTCCCCGTCCAGCCTCGGAGCAGCCGGGACTCGGCGCTGCCTCAGACTCCGTCTTCTTTCCCTCCCAGGTTCCTGATCGTCCTGGGCTGCTTGATCCTGGCCGTGCTGACCACGTTCAAGGAGTACGAGACTGTCTCGGGGGACTGGCTCCTGCTGCTGGTGAGATCGCCGACCCACCACAGCGCTGCGTTTCTGGTTGGACTTTCATGGCCAAGGCCAGGAGGCTGCCCTTGGGTGCAGTTGTGCCCAGTGGTTTGGGCTTCCTGGGGTCTCTGGCCAAGCCCAGGCGCATGCGAAAGCAGTGCCCAGATCACACAGTCAGGTCTGCCAGGGGCACGGGTGGATTGGGGAGTGCCATTTGTTATTCTAGATGAGATATAACCAATGCACCATTACATTCTAAGCTACAGCTCCCAGTCCCCTGAAAGTTAGCACAGAGGCATAGTCCATTCCGGACCCTGCCTCTGCTTTCCTTCCTAAAGCCTGAGGGTCTCTAACTCCGCTCAAGGCCAAGTTCTAAACCCTGTTCCCGCATAAGCTTACCTCCCCCACGGCCTCTGCCTGTTCTCCCCGTCAGGGTGTGGTACAGAGAGAGGGGCCTAGCGTTCTTCGGCAAGTTGCCTAATGGCCCTGACTTGGATTCTTCACGTCCTGGCCTGAAATATGTGCAAATAGCAGGTGGGCAGCCATACCGACAGGCTGGGAGCAGCCTCCACTGCTCCGGGCAGAGGCCCCAGGACGGCCCTGGCCCTTGGGGTGACCACACCCTTGCTGGATGCGGACTCAGCCCACCTCTTCCAGGAGCGGGTGCCAGTCCCCCAATAAGGGTTCACAAAAGAGCAGAAGCTTTGGCTGGCACTCACTTGCCATCCTTGGCTCCGAGGCCATAGATTCCTTCTGAGAAAAGGTGTTTACGATCCACGCACCCCGAGCTGAGACCTGAGCGGGTGGATCCTGGGCGACCGGCTCATTCCAGGGACTAGGTTTCTGGGGTCACCATGGAGCAGCCACTTCCCAGGGCCCCCGGAGACCACCAAAGAGAGAGGGAGGCAAAGCTATCCTATCTGATCAAAGGGAGGTGCAGAAGAGACAGGGCCCACCCAGTGACCCAGGAGGTGGCATGGGGCTTACGACATGGGCTCCAAGCCAGGTTCCTTGCCTGGGCTGCTTTCTTTGCCACTGCGTAGCCTTGAGAAATATGCCTCCCTATTCCTTGCCTTGGTTTTTCAAAGTATAAAATGAAGATAATATTACGGAACCCTGTCTGGCTGGTGCCTGGCCCAGGAGCCAGGCCCAGTGACACTGGCACAGTTAGCAAAACCAGGGCCCTCTCTTTTCAACACAACTGCACTTATTAGGGGCATTAGAGGGATTAAAAAAACAATCCATTGGAGCAGAAATAGAGAAAAAGGCCCGGCAGGCATGGCTCAGTGGTTGAGCTTCGACCTATGAACCAAGAGGTCGCTGGTTTGATTTCCAGCCAGGGCATATGCCCGGGTTGCAGCCTTGATCCCCAGTAGGGGGCGTGTAGGAGGCAGTTGATAATGTTTCTCTTTTTCCCTCTCTCTTTCTCTCTGAAATCAATGAAAATATTTTTTAAAAAGAAAAAAGAACAAGTAATCACTTTGTGTGCCTGAGTGTTCGGGACCCTGAGCCCAAGGGAATGAAGGCAGGAGCTGTCCAGCAGAGGGGAGGACCCGTTCCCTCCCCTCCACCACAGAGCAGCTACCGCTGCAGCCACCGCGGGTTCCTGAGGCCTGGGCCCTGGTCAGTCCATGTTTCCACTTATTTCTTCAACACAGGAAACGTTTGCGATTTTCGTCTTTGGAGCCGAGTTTGCTCTGAGGATCTGGGCCGCTGGCTGCTGCTGCCGCTACAAAGGCTGGCGGGGACGGCTGAAGTTTGCCAGGAAGCCCCTGTGCATGTTGGGTAAGCCCACCCCTGAGCCACCCGGCCAAGTCCCCTTCCCACACTCTTCTCCTGGGGATGCCTGGGCTCTGCTGAGGCCAGTCCAGCCTGCCCCTACCGCCCCCCCTCCACGAGTTCCTCCTGCTGCTGAGTCCCCCTGTGTCCCCTCCTCATGATCCCACAGAGCAGTGATTCTTCCTGGGCGTGCGGGCACGCTCAGCATTTGGACTTGGCAGGAGCCAGCCCCTTGCAGTCTGTTGAGCATCCCGGTCCCTAGATCGTAGCACCCAGTCATCCCTGCATATCTGGACTGATGGGGTGGGGTGGGAGTAGAGACACCACTGCAGGCTGAGAATTATTTCTATCGGACCCTGTTGTGCCCATTTTCCAGAGGTGGGGACTGAGGCTCACAGAGCTGAGTCATGTTCCAGTCACACAGTATATTCCTAACATCCATGTCTGGATGAACCTAGCACCTGTGTCCCTCCCTGCCCCCACCACCACCATGTTGCTCTGTCTTGACCCAAGAGTGGCTCTGAGGAGGTGTCCCTGGGCTCTTCATTTGGGTGCAGGCATTCTGATAGCAGAGAAGGTAGGAACTGTCATTCGCCCCTCCTGGTGCAGCATAGACCCATATGTCCTATCTGAACATCCTACTAAAATCATAGCATGACAAGACAAAGTCTGCCCACAGTGATGGCTAGGGGACGTAGAACATAGAATCCCAGGGATGGTAAAAGTGTCAGGATGATAGAACGTCAGCGCTGAAGGGCCAGCCAAAGGCCTTGGGTCCACATGCCCTCCTGACTAATGTTTCAGTCCTCTTTGCAGCAGCCTTCAGCTGGTCACACAGACTGCTTGTATACTTCCAGTCGTGGGACACTCACTACCTATCAAGGAGTTTATTCATCTTAACTCCTCTGACTCCTCCAGATATTTTGAGTTCAGCCATTCTGTTCCTCCTCTCCATTCCAGTAGATTCTCCTTTTGTCAGGAAAATGTGGCTTCAACTACACCCTTCTAGCATGCCCCACGTTCTGTCCCAGGAGACTGATTCCACTTCCCACGTGTGGTTGATTCACGGTTTCACAGGCAGGGCTTGGCACTCGCCTGTGCCGGCAGACAGGCCTGTGGTGGCTTCGTTGTAGCCCGGACAGCTCTGGTCACGGGCCCTTTGTCTGTGTTCTCTCCCAGACATCTTCGTGCTGATTGCCTCTGTGCCCGTGGTCGCCGTGGGCAACCAGGGCAATGTCCTGGCCACGTCGCTGCGGAGCCTGCGCTTCCTGCAGATCCTGCGCATGCTGCGGATGGACCGCAGGGGCGGCACCTGGAAGCTCCTGGGCTCGGCCATCTGCGCCCACAGCAAAGTAGGTGCCATGGAGAGGCCACGAGGCCACGTGTCTCTCACCCGCGAGGCCTTCCAGGGTGTGCCCTCCAGCAGGGTGTCCCCGGAGGGTATTCTGCCACCACTGGTGATGACAAGAGGGGGGCGAGGGAGGGCAGAAGCAGGTGGGCCACGGGGAACTGAAGCAGGTAGACCTGGACCAGGCTCAGCTCCAACAGGTACAAACAACCTGTCATTCGACCCTGTTTGACCGCAGTTTCCTCATTTCCAGGCGGGGATCCTCAGGCTGTGGGGAGGGAGACCTGAGCTAAGGCAAGGTAGCGTCGGGGGAGGAGAAGGCTCCAGAGTCACGCAGATTGATTGGCACTGCTGTCACCTCGGGTGCCAAGCGCCCAGCACACGCCCAGCATGTGGAAGAGGTTCAGCTGCTATTGGTCGGTGCCGAGCCCGGATCAGTTCAGCTGGGAGTCAGGCACGATTGTTTCCCATCACATGGACAGGGAAGCAGATGCAGAAGGAGGAAGTAGCTGCCCAAGGTCATGCCCTGGGACACACACCGGGCAGCCTGGCTCCAGCCCAGGTTCAGTGGTTTGCTGCTGGGCGTGGTGGAGCTCACCTCTCCGAGCGAGACCGGCAGCTAAGACCACGGGGCTTAGTCTGATCCCCTCCCAGAGTGCCCTGTACCTGAGCCGGGGTGGAAACTGAGGCAGGCAGAGCCTGTGCCTGGAGCTGAGGTGCTCCATTAGTCCAAACCTTAGCTGTTCCCTGGAGAGTGCAGGAGAACCGTGTGCCTCGCTCAGGCAGGGAAGCTTTTCGGAGGCCCGGGCAGGAGAAAGCAGAGCCAGGACCCCACGGAGGGAGGTGTCCCGGGGAACCAGGTGACGAGGGCTCCAGGCCCATGTCCCACAGAGTTAGACTCCGCAGGGCCAGGAGAGGCCAGGCTCTGCTCCCAGAACCGAGGACCTGAGAGTGTTGGCGACCTGGTGCAAAAAATGTTGTCACCTTCTCGCACACACAGCTCTGATGTGGCCAGAGGGCCCCATCGCTCCTAAAAATGAGCCTTGAGTCAGCGAGCCGAGGGAAGAAGGGCCTGGAGCACCCTGCAGAATGGCCCGCCGCCCCTCACTCCCCACATTGGCTAGACCCCACCCCTCAGCCGCCACTGACCACAGGAGCTCAGGCAGGTGCAGGAGCCCACGGGGCAGGTGCAGGAGCCACGGCGCCAGGAGCAGCCACAGGCTCTACCTCGGAGCTGCTGGTGAAAACCGCGTCCAGGCAGGATTACCCTGAATAGCCTTTTAAATGGCCGCAAAGCACAGGACTGGGACACATTTTTGCTCCTCGCCCATAACCATTATACCGCCTCTTAATAACCCGCAGCTAGTTTTTCTGGGCATACGATGTGTGTTTGGTTAAGCATCAGATGAAACTTCTGACTCACATCTGGGGTCAGAGCGTATGGAAACACGCAGGAACGCTGCAACTGCCCACAGCGAGGCCGGAGGCTGGTGCTCACACAGGAGCCCAGGGAGGGAGGGCCAGTTCCTGCTTGCCCACTCGAGCCCCCTGCAGGGCAGACCCTGGAGAGGGGAGCGGCTGGCTGGATCGTGTGCACCGTCTAAAAGAACCTCTCTCTGTGGCGTGAGCTCACACGTGTGCACTGTGCATAACGAAGTGTTAGACATTCAGACAAGTCTGCTTGGAAAATAGCAAAGGCAGCCCCAGCCGGTTTGGCTCCTTGGAGGGAGTGTCAGCCTGCAGACCAAAGGGTCTCAGTTTCAATTCCGGTCAAGGGCACGTGCCTGGGTTGTAGGTTCCCAACCGGCCCGGGCCCTGTCAGGGTTCATGCTGGAGGCAACCAATCGATGTGTTTCTCTCACATCGATGTTTCTGTCTTTCCCTCTCTCTTCCACTCTCCCTAAAAGATTAATGGAGAAACATCCTCCAGTGAGGATTAACAAAAAAAGAAAAGAAAGAAAGAAAATAGCCAAGACATAAAGGAACTAGAGATAAACCCGCTCTCTAGTTCGGGGAGCAGATCCGGGGAAGTTCACAGTGGAGGTGACATGAGTCTGCAGCTGGCGCCAAGCTCTGGTTGGTGTCGTGGAGGAGGGCTGTTCAGGCAGCACAACCAGGGTCGGCAAAGGCCCGACAGAGGCAGGGATCGAGCTGTCAGCGAGAGCCCAGCGACTCGCAGGCCCCTGACCTGCCGCCTGCGGCCAGACAGGTGACGGATATTGATACGAACAACTTAGTTCTGTGACGACTCAGCGGGGGTGACAAACCTAATCTCCAGATCGTGTGCGTCCATAACCTTGACTTTCTCCCCACCCAGGCTACCGAGCTGCACCTTGAAGTTGGAATAGAATGAGGGAGAGCGAGCTTTAGGGATTGTCCCAGTCGGGTGTTTAAATTCCACTGACACCCATCATTGCTATATCTCTGCACCATCCTACTCTTCCTTAACTTTTTTTGTAGTACCTTTCTCTGGTTTACTTACTCATGTGTCCTAGTCTGTCATGTGATAACATGCATGACATCATAGGTTTTAGGTGTCATTTATGCTCATTTTAATATTGTTTCAGTCAGTAGGTGACTCACATGAAAACTGCCTCTGCATTCCCCCAGTAATGCAGGTGGCACTTTCTGGAACTCTGTGGTCCAGTCTTTCATTGTAAAACTCGGGGAACCGAGGCTGGGAGGAGGGTCCTGTGCCCAGGGTCACATGGGCACTTGGCAGGTGGGGCCTGTCCACAGCTCTGCCACTGTGCACACTAGCCGACCCCTACATTTATGGGGAGGACATTCCTAGTTTTTTGACTCCTAGGGTTTCCAGTGAACGAGCTTTATTCTGCCCAGTCCTGCGTGGAATCAGTCTCCTGAGTTCCAAGCCTTGTCTCAGGCAGCAGTCTCGCGTGCCCCTGAAGCCTCGGAGCTGTGATATCGGGGTCCTCCCCCCAGTGGTGGAAATCTCCCCCTCCACCTACAGCCAGGCACTCACGGTGTTCATGCTGGAAACAATGCCCATGTCACTGGCCCCATTTCACAGTGATGGGAGGTGAGGGCCAGAGACAGCGAGTAACTTGCCCAGGGTCACAGAGCTGGCAGAGCTGGACTCCACCTCCACGGCCTCCAGGGTCCTCTTCCATTGTCCTCTGCTCTCTCCAGGAGCTCATCACCGCCTGGTACATCGGCTTCCTGACCCTCATCCTTTCTTCGTTTCTTGTCTACCTGGTGGAGAAAGACGTGCCGGAGGTGGATGCGCAGGGAGGAGAGATGAAAGAGGAGTTTGAGACCTATGCAGACGCCCTTTGGTGGGGCCTGGTGAGTCACCCCTTGCCAACCCCCTTCCCCCCAGCATGGGGATGGCCTGTTATCCACAGAGAGAGATGGGGGCTGCACTCTGCAGTCACAGTGAGAGCGAGACCGCCTCCATTTCCCATCCTGCCCCTGGGCGACCCCTCACAGGCTGCACGCTCTGAACAAGCAGGCTTTCCATCGTGTTTATAAGAAGTCAGGCCTCACAACAGTCTGGTCCCAGGGTCACTAGGGCCCTTACCTCATTAGTTGTAGGCTGTTATCAACCAAGCCACACGTGTGCAAACACACACGGTAACACAGGCCTTCAGACACACCTAGCGACTCAGCCCCACACCCACAGGGACACGTGGCACAAGGTGGCACCTGCCGAAGGCGTGCTTGCTCCAGAGCGCTGCTTTAGACACATCACCTGTATTAACACAGTTTAAACTCAAACAACTCTTATTGGGCCCTTTATAAATGGGGAAACTGAGGCATGAAGCGGGTAAGGAACTGATTCAAGGCAGACCCTGAGCCAGTCGGTGGTTGACCTGGGATTTGAACTCTGGCTGTTGGGCTGCAGAGGCCACGCTCTTACCTGCTTTGCTCTCCTGCCTCCTGGGTTCACAAGTACATGTGTTCATGTTAATACATGTGATCATACACAGGAGTGCACAGCACATAGCAGACATTGGACACGCACACCTGTGTCCACATGCATGTAAATGCACTCACAAGCACACGTACTTGGTAACGTGGCTATACACAAAATCACACAAATACACATAGGTACATGCACAAACATGTTTGCAGTTACTGAAACATTTGTGAGTTGTCGACTACAGGTAGGAAATCCTTAACTCAGGGCAGGTGTGCCCTCAAGGACCCATGTAAGTCCCCTGATACTTGGTAGCTTTTCTCCTACAGGATCTCATTCTAAATGGTCACAGTTCCCCGCCCCCAAGTCAGTACAGAGGCTGATATGATGGGGGGAGCTCAGGGATACATCCCTGGTTTCCCTCTCCCTGGGGACCCCACGTCTGAGCCCCTCTCTCTTCAGATCACACTGGCTACCATTGGCTACGGAGACAAGACACCCAAGACGTGGGAAGGCCGTCTGATCGCAGCCACCTTCTCCCTCATCGGCGTCTCCTTCTTTGCCCTGCCGGCCGTGAGTACCTCAATGTGCACCCGAGTGCACACACAGGACCCTCGCCGCCTGGCCCGGCTCTGCCTGTCACCTCATCTTCCATCCTTTCATGCCATGAACTCCAGCGCTGCCCACTCACTAGCCATCCCTGCAGCGTGGTTTCTGCTCTCCGCCACGCGCTGTGCTGGTCCCTTTGCCGGGAGTGAGTCCTCCTCCAAGACCTAGTGTCCCCGCTGCCATCTTCAGACTGCTCAGTCGCTCCCTCCTCTGGCATAACCCTGGAGGGCATCTCCGAGCCTGTCCTGGGATTGCTCAGCTCCATGTCTGCGGAAAAACAGCCACACAGATAACAGACTTGCTCAGGGCCTCACGGCTGAAAAGTGGCAGAGTCAGGAAGTGGCCGAGTGGCAGAAGTGGCGGGCAGAACGCCACTAAGCTGCAGAGGCAGGGCTCCCAGACGTCGAGGCTCCATTTCACCCAGCAGCCTACGCCCCTTCTCCCCAGCACTCACTGCGGCCGGGAGCGGGTGGGTTCCCAGGAGCGTCTGGGGGGCTGACTCCGAGACTGACTTTCCCTCCAGGGCATCCTGGGGTCTGGGCTGGCGCTCAAGGTGCAGGAGCAGCACCGGCAGAAGCACTTTGAGAAAAGGAGGAAGCCAGCCGCTGAGCTCATTCAGGTCTGTCTGCTGCGGGTGAGCGGGATGGGATTAAATCTGTGTGCATGCCTGGTGCGTGTGTGCACACATATGGGTGTGTGAACATGTGTGTGGTGGCATGTGCGTGTATGTGAGCATATGTGTGTGTGTGTGTGTGTGTGCTTGTACAGGAGTGGGCATGCCCGTGGCCTGGGACCCAACCCAGGACCAGCTTGCACATGGGTGGCTGTGGTGTTTCTGTGGTTGTCTGTATGGCTGGGGTTGGTGGGTGCTTAGTGGCAGTCCTATCCCTCTTCCTTCCGGGTTCTAAGCCAATCAGGAAATAGACCATCTCAGGACTCAGACCAACCCATCTGCTGTGTTTTTTAAAATATGTTTTTATGAATTTGAGAGAGAGAGAAACATCAGTGAGAGAGAGACATCAATCAGCTGTCTCCTGCACGCCCCCCACTGGGTATTGAGCCTGAAACCTGGGCATGGCTCTGACTGGGAATCCAACTGGTGACCACTTGGTGTCTGGGTCAACGCTCAACCACTGAGTCACCCCGGCCGGGACCATCTGCTGTTTTACTAACTAAGCTGCAGTGGAGAATTTGGGTCTTTCTACTCCCCCCCCCCAATCTTGACTGGGGGACCCACCAAGCAGTCAGCCTGGCGTCCAGGAGCTGAGCCAGTCGCTGCAAGGAGGTGTGGCCTCACTTCTGCCAGGGCTCAGCTCCGGAGCCCATAAGCCAGGGAGGAAGAGAGGCCTTACATGGGGAACTGAAACTCACGCTGTGTTCTGCTGTCACGCATCCTGCAGCAGTGCTGCTGGCTGCCTGCGGCTCTCCGTGGCCAGCACGCCCCGCCCTGGGCTGGAGGCTGGGACGATGGTGAGAGGGGTGGCAAAGGCAGGAGTGCTCCCATCACGTCAGAGGGACTTTGTGGTCCTAGATGCTACCCTACACACTGTTGTTTCCAGGCCAGCCCCAGTCTCCAAGAGTGTACACCATGACCCCCCAACCCCAAACCATCCCAGTATCCAGTAATTCTAGCACATTAGCCTCAAACCCCCTCTCTGCTGTCTCCTGCACCCAGAAGTGGCACCAAAGGCAATATTTGTCTTCCTATGGATTTGAGAGTCTCTCCCTCCAAGGGCATGAGCCGTGCTCTAAGGCTGTGGGACCGTGTGAGCAGTCAGGTGACACCAGGTCGGTCTCTTCTCCCCACAGGCTGCCTGGCGGTACTACGCTACCAACCCCAACAGGATCGACCTGGTGGCCACGTGGAGGTTCTATGAGTCAGTCGTCTCTTTTCCGTTCTTCAGGCAAGTGGTGGGTGACCCATCTGGACCGCTCAGGGCGTGGCCAGCTGCCCCTCCCATGGGTCTGCATTGGTGCCCATGGGTCTGCATTGGTGCTCATGGGCACACATTAGGATCACAGGGAGCTCAAAAACTCCCAGGGACCAGGGTGATTAATCAGACTGCTCCAGGAGGGGACTCAGGCATCAATATTGATCGGCTGCCTCCTGTACACCCCATACTGGGGATGGAGGCCACAACCCAGGCATGTGCCCTGACTCTGAATCAAATTATAATCTCCTGGTTCATAGGTTGACGCTCAACCACTGAGCCACGCCAGCCGGGCAGGAATCATTTTTAAAGAAACCCCAGATGACTCAGGGTGCTGATGTTGAGTGGCTGATAAGGGAAGGTCATATCAATGTGTGAGCGGGATCAGTGGCTGAGGAAGTGGGGAGCCAGTGTGAGGGGCCACCCTGGCAATGCATGCTCCCCCGCCCCACTTGGCCTGCCCCTGCTGCCGCTCCGTAGGCTGAGAACCGCCAGGCGGAAGCTGCAGGAGGGACCCTCAGAGGACCCCAAGATGTCATTTGTGTTCTTAGAGGGGAGAGGAAAGGAAGGGAAAAATAAAAACCCCTTTCCATGGCCAGCACCTGGGAAAGGGCGAGAGAAATTAGTGTTTATTAGATGTGCACTACGGTCCAGACCTCCAAGTTCAGGTTTCAGTGACTCCTCGCAGGCACCCTCCAAAATACGTGAGAGGTTCTCAAGTGTAAGGCACGTTGCCATGGAAATGGGAAGGGCCTGGTAGAACGGGTAAAGGTGGGCACAGCAGGGAGGGAGGACTAGAGGAGAGAGCAGGGCAGAGGGCATGGGCTCCGAATCACCGGCGGAGGATTGGCCATTGTCAGCGGGACCCTTCATCATCATCGCTGGCACAGAAGGGAAGCCGGTGGGTGGGGCCAGGTGTAAGAGGTGGTGGGTTTGGAGGTGAGATCATGGGACAGATCTTGGGGAGAGGTGAGTCGGGGTTGAGCGCTGGAGAGGGGGTAGTAGGGAGTGTGATGATGGAGAAAGCCTGAGCTCATGGTCTTGGAGAAGGAGAAAGGATGGGAAGGGATGCCCCTCATTCTTTAACACTGCTCCCCAGTCCTCCTTCTCCTGTCTTCCCTCTGCCCACTCCCTCACCCTTTCCCTCTGTCCTCGTGCTTCAGGAGGGGAAATGGGCAGGAGGCTGTGTGGCCAGCCCAAGGCCAGACTGGAACCAGATGTTGAGCTGACCATGAACTAGAAATTCCTAACTCTCCCGCTGTCTCTGTACTCCGCTACCACGATGCCTCTTCTCTCCCCATTTCTCCCCTCCCCCCTCCCAGCGATAGGCCAATTATTCCCTCAGTGTTTATTGTGCACGCACCTCGGGCCAGTGTGTGGGGTCCTCAGATTTTGGAGCTAAAATACCAAGTCTCTGGCCCCAAGCAGTTCATGGGCTACCACGTAATTCTAACACCATGCGATCTGAATACAATCCCACCTGTGAGATTAGCTCAGTGTAGACCTGGGGAATTGGATAAAAACACACACAAAAAAGGGGGGTCCTTTCTGCTGGAACGCTAAGGATGAGCATGACCATCCCAGGCAGAAGAAAGAGGCAGGGAGTTCCCGGCAGAGCCTGAGTGAAGGCTCAGAGTCACAAATGTGAGCAGAGCACACGTGGCCTCGTGGTTAGTACTATGGGCACCGAACCAGGTGGCCTGGGTTTGAGTCCTGACTCTGCTGCTTCCTAACTGTGAGACCTCCAGCAATTCCCGTAGCCTCTCTGTGCCTCCGTTTTCTCGTCAGGAAAATGATAATACTTACTCCGTAGGGTTGGTATCCATTAAAAGCACTTATAATGGTCTCTGCCTGTTAATTATTGCTCCGTAATATTTGCCATGATGATGTCGACTATGGTGATGATGGCGGTGACAGAGTGATGGGTGTGTAGCTGCTAAATGACAACATTCCGGTTCCCTGGTCTGTCCCCATCGCTAGACAGATGCTCTGAGCCCAGCACAGGGCCTGGGGCAGAGAAGGTGCTCAGCAACCATTTTCTAGATGAGTGAATGGATGGATGGATGAACGGCTGAGAAGAGCCTTGAGCGGGCAAAGCAGCAGGGGCCTGGGGTCTAGCTGGAGGCGCCCATCTCATTCAGTGGGTCCCCTCCAGACTCACCGCCTCGCCCTGGGGTTCCCCTCTCTCCCTCTGCCTTCATCCAAGGGAAGCTGGGGGGACATTGTGGGCGAGGGTTCTGTATAATTCATGCTCCATTTCTCTCTCCCTCCTCGCCTTACAGGAAGGAACAGCTGGAGGCAGCAGCCAGGTACGTTTCTGATTGTGAATTTCTCTTCCACCACTGTGTCCGGACAGAGGGCCCAGCTCTGTGTGGGGCAGGGCCCCTGGGCGGCCATGCTGGTCACGGATAGAGCGTGGGAACCACTATTCCCTGTCCCCGCTTCATGTTAACTTGCTCCAGGACACCTTCCTGGTGGTAACAGCCGCGCCATTTGCTGAGTTTCTCCTCGAGGTGGGTTCGGTGCCAGGAGTCCCGCACCCGCTCTTTCAGTGGGTCCCCCCCACCCCCCACAGTGCACCCCCCCGAGCCTCACGTTTAGATTGAGGAGATGGGGGCTTACTCCCGCTGGGTCACCCGGCTCACTGAGTGACAGACCAAAATTCAAACTCGGGTCTGAACACGAAGACCGTGGTACTTCACTACGTGTCGCTTCCTTTGCTTCCTGGGCCCCTGGGTGGCTCTGAAAAGGGAGTCAGGACTGGAATTCTGGCCCCACAGCTGTGGGCGCCCCAGAGAGGCCGTGAGCCTTCTCTGTCCCTCCCTCTCGCTCCCTCGGGAAGATGCCGTGAAGCAGGGAGCCTGGACCTGCTCGAGGCTGTGAAGTAGGACCGTCCCTGCCAACGTTGGCTTAGATATGTGTTTGCTCTGTTATGTGGACAGACCGCTTGGGGACCTTGCGCTCAGTCTCCTAGACCAGTGATGGCAAACCTTTTGAGCTCGGCGTGTCAGCATTTTGAAAAACCCTAACTTAACTCCAGTACCGTGTCACATAGAAACTTTTTGATATTTGCAACCATAGTAAAACAAAGACTTAAATTTTTGATATTTATTTTATATATTTAAATGCCATTTAACAAAGAAAAATCAACCAAAAAAAGTTCGCTTGTCACCTCTGACACACGTGTCATAGGTTCACCATCACTCTCCTAGTCGGTCAGCTCAACCGCGTCCTTCTGCAGCTTGCAGGAGCGGGGCAGAGGAGGTGGCAGGGCCCTGGACCAACTTGTAGGGGAACCACTTGGGGAAAGTGGTCTGTGGGAATCTGGGTCCGTCCTTCTGAACGGGGTCCATGGTGCCCTATCCACTCCGTCACCCCACCTTAAAGAGCTCCTTACAGACAGCACTGAGCTCCCAATAGAAACAATGCCACCTTGCCGCCTTCTTTGTGCCTATTTTCAAAGGATGTGCATTTCTTTCCTGGACCCAGTTTGGGCTGTAGGGGGCGCTGGGGGATACTGCCGAGGAGGCTCAGGGGACATCTGCTAGGGAACTGCAGAGGCAGAGCGGGGAGACTCCTCAGAGGGATGCTTTTACAGAAGCCGAGCCTCCCGGGGGGGGGGGAGGGGGCAGGCTCACCCCAAGTTACAGGGCCTGTGAGCTCCGGGGGTGACACAGCCAGGTCTCAGGACTTCCAGCGGGTGCTCTTTCCCCTCCTTCTCTCAGGACCAACAGGGTTTTAGATCATGCAAGTGTTGCTACTACAAGTTACTCAGTCTACCTTAGGAGCCTTTTCTGAACCGGCATGAACAGAATTCAGCCAGACTGGAGCGTCCATGCCCAAATCACAGTGCACTGGGTTAAGGAAGGCCAGAGAGAGGCATTTGAAGCTTACAGAAAAAGTGGGTGGGTGGGTGGATGATGGATAGGCAGACACTATATTCTATGAGTGTCAGAGACCCAACTTAAATGACCTTGGACTGGGAGGACAATGTCAAGGCTCAAGTCACCCATCAGACGTGCTGGGAACCCATGGCAAACAAGGAATGGGACCTCTGGGATTCCTCCCTTCTCTTGCCTCTGCTTCTTTGTGGTCTCACTCTTTCGGCCGACCTTTGCCATCCTGATAAAGTGTGGGTGCAGGCAGCCCCAGGATCCTACATTTTTTCTTTGCATGCAGCTCCAGTGCAAAAATTCCCAGGGAAGCCCTTGGGTCCCACAATTTGTGTCCCATATGCACACTTTGGACAAACTGTGTGGCTCAGAGAGTGAGAAGCCGCTGCCAGCCCAACCCTGGGCCACGTGTCCACTGTTAGAGTGACTGGGTGTGCAGTCACGATGCTATGATTGGCAGCTCCCGTTAGAGTCACTTGACTGAAGTTGGACAATCAGTTCCCCAATAGAATACAGTCCTTTTCCCTGAAAAACAGGGATGAAACGTAGAGCAGACAAAAATCACAGTTGCCCCTGACAGGCATCAGTTCTACCCATAAATTCTTAACCCCCTAAAAATAATATTGCATTACACACCATCAACAATAAACCCCTCCGAGCCTCATTTATTCCACAGATTGCACCAGAAAAGACGGGAGTGTTGTGTGCAGGACATCATGTGTTCGTGTGTGTGTGTGTGTGTATTGATTTCATAGAGGAAGGGCGCGGCAGAGAGAGACAGAAACATCAGTGATGAGAGAGAATCATTGATTGGCTGCCTCCTTCACACCCCTTACTAGGGATCGAGCCTGCAACTCAGGCATGTGCCCTAGTCCAGAGTCCATCCCAGGACCCTTCAGTTCACAGACAACACCGGCTAGGGCTAGGACATCATTTTAAGTATCAGTCAGGACTGTTCATTAGAGAGGCAGCACGGCTGACGATCGGGGGCATTTGTTTGGTGGAAACTAGCATTCTTGAATGTTCAGACAGGTGCCTGTTGGCAATGCTGTTTACTGGAGCCCAGTCGTTCGCTTTGTATTTCCGAGCCGTTCAGTCTGAACAGCAGCCTTTGGGCTGTCTCTGCACCGGTCTTTGGAGAGGGAAGCAGTGTGTTCCAGCAGCTTCTTTATCTCCTGTCTTGTATCATGTCCTTCCCGGCACAGCTGTCAGATTTAGTAGACGATCATTCTTTGGATCAGAGAATTCAAGCATCATAACAGTCATTTATAAAGAATGCTCACGGCTCACCGGGTAGAGTTCTGAGCACATCCCGCCTCACAGTGAGCCCTTGAGTAGAAGCTGTTTTTAACCCCCGTTTTACACATGAGGACACTGCGTTCAGAGGCAAGTGACGTGCACAAGGTTCTACAGCCAAGAAAGTTGCGAGAGCAGGACGTGGCCTATCTTAGTAGTTCGTGGCCGCAGCCACTGGTAGTTGGGAACTGTTAACCTAATCTGTTGGTTTGTTTTCTTCCGCCTTTTCTTGGCTCACGTACCTGGAGTCCCTGCCATGAGGCAGGGAAAGGCTCGGAGCCAGGATATACTACTGAGGGAAGGAGCATCGACAGGCACTATAATTCAGGCTTTGCCATCTCCCTGTGACATCAGCCACATGAAATTCATCTCCCGGGGTGATGGAGGATGTTGGCCATAAATCTCCTTCCGTGCCCCGGAATTAATGACTGTTAAAGGTGTGCAGGAATCGAAAGCTCAATTAAGCCAAGCCCCTCATTTCACTGGTGAGAAAATTATTACCCGGAGCAAAATAAGAGCCTGGACCCATTCCGACCGCTGTTAGTTTGTTCTGCCATCCAGACCCTGCCATGGGGCCAGGCTGCGAGTAACTGAGATGCAGAGGCGAGGCCTGGGCCAATCTAATCTCCTAGGGATCCCTGGCACGTCCTAAGGGCTCGGTCTCACTTCTTTTGGAACATGCGGAAGTACCCATCGACAACACCCCATTCCCTCTGAATTATGAACCAATCAAAAAATAGGAGTTTCTGAGAGAATCAAAGTACAAGCTACGTGCTGGGGGAAGCCCGTGGGCTCTGGGGGCGACAGTGAGCGTCCTAGCGCCCCCCACTATGTCCAGCCACGTTTCGGATAAAGAGTCGTTTAGATGACAGGAGGGTGGAAGGTTTCCCGGGAACAGGTCACAGCAGGTGCAAAGGCCCGGAGGTGTGCCGTCAGGGAACTGCCCAGGGTGGGGCTGGACTTCCCTGGGGCTGAGAGCTGAGTCAGGAGCCCCTGCCCCTCCCTCCGGACAGAACAATCTTGAGTTGACCTTTCCATCCCCAACCCACTGAGTTGCAGTTTTCCCAGTTCACGTTTCAGAATCGCCTGTCCTCACTTTCCCAGGAAATGGAGCATCAGCTCCAGGGAGGGCTTCTCCTGCCAGACCCGCAGCCCCTCAGAGCCCACCGCCCGAGTCCTGCCCTGAGTCCGAGTGGAGAAAGGCCGGGATGGGTTTGAGTTTCAGGGGTGCACTTTGCCTGGCACGTGACGATCCTTTGGGCATGTCAGATTTCAGGCAACACAACTTAGAAGTAAGCTGATCACCCACTTTTGCTGGAGGGAGAATTCCCTAAGCCTCTTAGATGCAATGGCCGTGACTTGTGCCCGCCGTCTCCGGGTTCCTAATGCTGATGAAATCACATCTTATCAGCCATTTTCTCTGAACAATGGGGCATTAAGTGAACGGAGCGCGGCGTTCAGACTGTTCGAGGTTGCAATGAACCGTGTAAATGCCAAACCAGCGAATCCCAAACTCAGCAGATAGAAGCCGGAGAGGCCTCTCATTAGCTCTCCGATAGTCAGCACTTCCGGGGGCTCTCCTGGCAGGACAGAGTGGCTGCCGATGCTTTTGTTTTGCTTATTTTAATTGGAATTAAGTCCGCATGGACTTATGTCCTGCCGAGGTCAAGTTCAGTGACAATAGGGAGTATTTGAGTCTAGTGTGAATAAGTACTGTAAAATAATAGAATATTGGATGCCGATTGTAATAGAGAAATAAACAATTAAAAGGAGTGCTGTAAAATGATAGAGAGCTCCCAGGAACTCATTTCAGTTCATTAAAAAAACAAGGGCACACAACAATTTTTGTGGCCCAGGAAATGGTACCCATCCTTTCCACACGTCATTAACCTTCCTAGGCTGCTGCAGGAAGAGGATTGCTAACGGAGATAATGGTGACAGCCAGCGTTTCTGGAAGGCGCTGGCATCCCAGACAGTGGCTGGCGCTCAGCATGCATTGCTCACTTACCCTCAGACAGCCGTGTGCAGCCAGGCCTGAGAGGAAGCGGGGAGCCGAGAGAATGAGTCCTGTGTCCAGGACACACCTTTCTCAGGACAGGCCCATGCAGCCTGCTGTTGCCCCAAAGCCCATGGTTTTCGCTGCTGCCCTGTCCATCGGGGTGTGCCGAGCAGGAACGTGTGCTGGGTTCGGAGATGATAAGGCAACGTCTCTGCTCTGCTCGGACCACACAGTTCAGCGAGCGGGCAGACGTGGGAACACACCGTCTCCACACAGAATGGCAAACTGTGATGGGAAAACACAGCGTGTCTGTGAGGCAGAGGCAGGTGCGGAATGTCCAAGGGGGCGCTCAGGCAGCCTTAAAGGGCAGGTGAGGATGGGAGCAGCTGAGAAGGCAAGAAAGGGCATGACAAGCCGTGGGCCTGAGTGCAGCTAGCCGTGCAGGAGGCGACGGGACAGGCGAGGGGCTTGGTGGACACAGAAGGACAGACCCTCAAGACACATGGGCAGGGGCCGAGGAGAAGGGGGCCTGAGAAGTGACTGGGCCACAGCCCCCCTTTCCCGCACTCATAAGTCGGGAAATCTTCCACGTGGGTGCAGCTGATTGCCTGCCTTGACAGGTCATTCTCTGTCCTGGTAGCCATTCGTCTAGTTCCAGCGAGGAAAGCAGGTTCGGAAGCTGTGACTTCAGGTCAGGGAAACTGCATTTCTCTGAATCGGCCCGGGCCGGGCAGGGCATTGAGGGGGCGGTGCTGGTGAGAGAGCGGGCCGGAGGGAGTCGGGATAACAGGGCTTCAGCCATCCGCTCCCTCGTGTGTTGTGTGTTCTCGGGGGCCAGGCGGAAGGCGAGAAACCTGGCAGATGTTATTCTGTGTGATGCTCCCCAGGCGCCTGGGAAGCAGGTGTTGTTAGACTCAGCCCGCGAGGACTTGGTGCACAGAGAGCACAGGGCACCTGCTCGGTTGGCAGAAATGGGGGTGATCCAGCCTCCTCTGCAGCCCCAGCACCTGTGACCTCCTTGCCACGCCACCACAAAGTTGTCAACAGCTGGCACCATGCACATGGCTGTCATAACCAGACACACTCTTTAGAAATGCTAATTATCTCAGTTCCATGCAGAGCTGATTCATTTGCTCACGCATTTATACCACAAGTGCACCTACTGTGTGTCAGCCCCATGTGGGGGATGGAGAGGGAGCACTGAGCTGAGTATATTGGTGTGTGGAAACATGCAGTGTGGTTTCTCTCTGCTGTGTACCTCACAGAAAGGACTTCATTCTGCATGCTCACTAGGGCTAGAGGTGCAGGACCGGAAATAGAAGGCACAAAAGAAAAAATAAACAACAACAAAAAAAGACATAGAAGGACCAAAATAATGTCTGGAGCACCTACTGTGTGCCAAGCTCTATGCCAAATCCTTGACCAACATCATCTCATAGCAATCAGGTGAAGTGGGGATGCTTCTCTCCACTTTATAAAGATGTGGTAACTGGGGCTCACAAATGGGCCCAAGGTCACAGAAGTGCCCAGAGGTCATCTGGATGGTGAAGGGTAGAGCTGGACTTCAAGTCAAGGTGCAGCCCGGTTTTGCACCAGGGCAACTTTACATTTACTGGTGTTTATGTTTTGTGTGTATGTGCCAACCACACTCTGGGTGTAGGAAGCCCAGGGACCCTTTCTCAGAATAGCAACTTTTAATCCACAAGTAAAATGCATGCAACTACAAAAGAAACTGGTTACAGGGAACCCTTGAATAACACCAGTGCTGACCCCCACAGTCACACATCCACCTGTACCTTTTGACTCCCCAAAAATATAACTACAGTGGTCCCTGGTATCCACGGGGACGGGTTCCAGGACCCTCAGGGATACCAGAATCCATGCGTGGCCCAGGCCCTTATGTAAATGGCAAAGATGAATGCCTACAGTTGGCCCACCATGTCTGTGGATTCCCGAGTGCAGATCAGAAATACTGTTTTGGTCCTCGGTTGGGTGACTCTGTGGATGTGAAACTGGGGGACACAGAGGGCCAATTTGTTTAGTCTTTTTTAAAACATATTTTTCATTCATTTCAGAGAGGAAGGGGGAGGGAGAGAGAGAGAGAGAAACATCAGTGATGAGAGAGAATCATTGATTGGCTGCCTCCCGCACACCTCCCACAAGGAATCGAGCCCACAAGCTGGGCATGCACTCTGACTGGGAATCAAACCATGACCTCCTAGTTCACAGGTTGATGCTCAACCCCTGAACCATGCCGACCTGGCTAGCGTTTTACTAGTACATTTACCCGTAAGCATAGGAGGAAACTGAAGTCAGAGGAGCTCAGGCGCATGCCCAAGGTGTAGCTAGTCCACTGCGGAGCTGGGATCTGCACCCAGCCCTGCCCAGTCCCAGCACCTCCATCAGCTTTAGCCCTGAGCGCCCGTCCCATTCAGGCGCGGAGCAGAATGTGCGTGTCTTTATGGAGAGGGTCGGGAAGTCCGAAAAGCCTGCACTCAAGGAGGAAAATTGTTCACTTTTGCTTATTTTGTAGCCAAAAGCTGGGTCTCTTGGATCGGGTTCGCCTTTCTAATCCTCGTGGTAGCAATACTAAAGGAAAGCTATTTACCCCTCTGAATGTAGATGCCATAGAAGAAAGTCCTTCTAAAGAGCCAAAGCCTGTTGGCTTAAACAATAAAGAGCGTTTCCGCACCGCCTTCCGCATGAAAGCCTACGCTTTCTGGCAGAGCTCCGAAGGTAAGGCCTGTCCTCGCCCCTGCCCAAGACCCCTCCCTCCTTCTCTCCCTCCCTCCTTCCCTCCCTCCCTCCCTCCAACTCTCCCCCACCTTGAAGTGCTCTCCAGTCTGCAAAGTAGCCCATCCCCTGCCCTCCCTCAACCCACTGCTCACTGCCTCCTCTTTACTAGAGGCATCTATGACTCATCCCCACAGCTTGAAGGGCAGGGGGCACCCAGGTAGCTGTTCCTGGGCCATAGTTACCACACTCACCTGCGCAGACGTGGCTGGGAGCTTGGGGGCCTGTCACCATGGTCCCTCGGGTGGCAATGATGAGTGCATGGCCATGGAGTCCACGCGAAAGACGGAGAGGGGCCGGGTGCAGAGCGATCTGCAGCCCTGGGGCTCAGCACCCTCAGGGGTGGGAGGATGTGTCAGAGAGCAGCCCTCAGGGTGTAGGAACACCTCTGTGTTCCCTTTCACTTATGGAAAGAGGATAAGTAGGGCTCAGAGTGACCTCCCCCAAGGTCACCCGGCTGAGGACTTGAAAGAGCAAGAATGTGAACTAATGCTCACCTGTGTGACCTTTGCTGCCACCCTGGGAACTCGGAACGCACGTCCTGAACTGCAGACACCCGTGGCTCAGACTTCTGGGTAACAGGAGGGGATGCTCAGAAAGGCTGAGTGACCTCACAGCTGGAGGACCCTGCGGGGTTCCCGGAAATGGGAACACAGACCCTGGAGGCTGAGCCTGGAAGGCTGTGGCCAAAGGAGGGCCTTGAGCCTCTGCAGGTGCTGTGGCCGTGGTTGATGCACGTGTCTCCCTCCCAGATGCCGGGACCGGCGATCCCATGGCCGAAGACAGGGACTACGGGAATGACTTCATCGAAGACATGATCCCCACCCTGAAGGCCGTCATCCGAGCCGTCAGGTGAGGCCCCACCTCCCCGCCCATGGCCTCCCCAGGCCCCAGTTCTGTCCAGGACAAGGCTTTGTAAAGTGGGCTTGGCTTTGGGGAGATGGGCGGGAGGCCCCGGGAGTAACCGGAGGCCGATGCAGAGTCTGTCCATACTGTACAGGGGATGCTGCCTGAAGACAAGTGATTGCACATCAGCACGTCGTCATGGGGTGTGCTACCCCATAAAGCAGCGGTTCTCAACCCTCCTAATGCTGCGACCCTTTAATACAGTCCTCATGTGGTGGTGACCCCCAATTTCATTGTTACAAATTAAAACATAATTAAAGCATAGTGATTCATCACAAAAACAATATGTAATTATATATGTGTTTTCCAATGGTCTTAGGCGACCCCTGTGAAAGGGTCGTTCGACCCCCAAAGGGATCGCGACCCACAGGTTGAGAACCGCTGCCTTAAAGGAAACTTTGGTCAGAAGGCCCTTGCCAGGTGGCCCCGTTAGTTAGAGCATCATCCCAATAAGCTGAGGTTGTGGGTTCAATCCCCTTAAGGCACATACAAGAGTCAGTTAGTGATGCATAAGTAAGTGGAACCACAAATCAGTGTCTCTCCCTTTCTCTCTTTCTCAAATCAATTTTAAAAAATAAAATCTATCCTAAAAACAATACCTGTGATCAGGATACAGGCTTGTAGAACGTCCACAATTCACCGCCACAGTGAATTCTAGAAACTAGGTTGGTTCTCCAAGAGCCAGTCGTGGTGCTTGCAGAAGGTCCCGGTGCAGTGAGTCAGGGAGTGTTAGCGTACGGGGACCTCAGCAAAGCCATTGGCCTGCTTTCCCATGACACCATCGTGTCCAGTGTGACCGCAGTGCCACTGGTGAAACACAGCTCCTGGCTTCCTGCCTGGTGGGACGATCTCCCTCAAGAAGACCCAGGGAGGGACCTGCCAGCCTGGAGGGAGGCCTGTGCTGCCATGCTCCCTGGTCTGCCTTCTGCTCTGTCCTTATAGCGTGTCCACTGATGCCTTTGTTCAGGGTGGGCAGGCTTTTTTCTGTAGAGTCAGATAGTAAATGGGTTACGCTTTGTGGCCGTGCATCTCTGCTGCCTGTACTGAACTCTCACTCTGTGGTGCCAGAGACAGTACATACACGGATGGTGTGGCTGTGTTGCAGCATAACTTTCAACCCAGGCAGTGGGCGGGTCTGGCCTTGGAGCCGCAGTTGGCCGACACCTCCCTCAGTGGAGGTGTGCAAAGGGCAGGCTTATAAAAGGACACGAGGTTGGAGGGGATGGCAAGTCAGTCGGATGGTTTAATCAATATGTCAGAATAGTGCTGAGGGACCGGAGCCTGGGCTGTGGCAGAATGAACTTTGCACAGCGACCATAAGAAGGCCTGTGTGAGCACTGGGTGGGGTCAGCTCTGTTTCCTACCGCTGACCTGCGATTAGGGGTTTTAGTTGCCCCATCTCAGTGGGCACTGGCCTCAGCATGGGCTTCAAGGAGCATTAGCCACCCAGGTGGCTGTTGGTTCCTAGGAAGATGGAGGTGAGGGCTTGGCATCTATGAGTCCTGGGTGCCCCCTTTACTCAGAGCCTGAGAAAACTGGGGGAACAGAAGCTAGGTTCTCTCTGTGGAGAGCTTACAAACCAAAGGATTAAAAAAGCGATTCAGGAAGAGAGATGTCAGCTGTGTGACACGGGCCTTGTCAGCATCCAGACCTGGTCTGAGGAGCGCTCCGAGGCTCTTGGCAGGTGGCCCCGCCCCGGGAAGTGCCCGAGCTCTCGGCCACGGTCTCGCCTTCCAGAAAGTGGTCTGTCCGCAGATTGTTCATGAAACACTCAGCCCAGTGCCTGAATGAAGACTCGGGAAATGTTCGCTCGCAGGTTACTGTGATGTTCTCAGTGTGCAAATGATTGAAGGGAGGCGCCAAGGCGGAGGGGTTCTACCAGCCTCGTCCGTGTGGCTCGAAAGGCTGGATCCAGGACCCAAATCGGAACGTCTCCCCATCAAGTCCTTTTCTCTTTGGTTCTCTTCTCCCCCACTGCCCCCGAGTTTGCTAGTCTTGAGTTATAGTTTCTCTACGCGTGACACACACACATCTCTACTTCACCTTACAGGATTTTACAGTTCCGTCTCTATAAGAAAAAATTCAAGGAGACGCTGAGGCCGTATGACGTGAAGGATGTGATAGAGCAGTATTCCGCAGGGCACCTCGACATGCTCTCCCGGATCAAGTATCTTCAGACCAGGTAAGACGGCCGCACGTGGGAGGACGGTGCTCTCCTGACCGCTGAGGAGCCCAAGCCAGGTGGACCTCAGAGCGGAGCGTGCCAGGCCTTCAGAAAGCATGCGAAGTGCAGAGAGAAATTTGAGGAACAAATAAGTCCACCAAGCACTGCGGATCTCAGAGCCAACCAGCTCCAGGTCAAGCAGGCTGGGAGGAAGCTTGGTGACATTGACACGGCCAAGGTCAACCCCCTGATGGGGCCTCGTGGCAAGAAAGCATATGTCCGACTGGCCCCTGGCTGCGATGCTTTGGATGTTGCCAGCCAACTTGGAATCGTCTAAACCCAGTCCAGCTGGCTAATTCTAAATATAAATTTTTCACCGTGTTGAAAAAATGTGCATCAGACGTCAATCCTAATAGCAAAAATATGGAAACGGCAACAATGCCCAACTAATGGCCACCATATTTTGTTGACCACCTGGGTGCTCTGCCTATATGTGTCTAATTCCTTATCACCCTGTGAGGCAGAGCGTTAAAGGTGCCATTTCACCAATGAGAAAGCCAAAGCTCAAAGGACAAAGGACTTGCCAAAACTTACCTAGCCAGGAGGTGGCAGAGCTGGAGAGCAATCCAGGTGCGACTGGTTGCCTCGCTCCTACTCTCTCTAATAGCCGCACCCCCTCAGTCACAACATAGACCAAGAAGTGAACGTAGCCCAGCCTTCATGGCTCAGTGATTGAACACCAACCTAAGAACCAGGAGGTCACAGTTTGATTCCAGGTCAGGGCACATACCTGGACTGCGGGCTTGATCCCCAATGTGGGGCCTGCAGGAGGCAGTGGATCAATGATTCTGTCATCATTGGTGTTTCTGTCTCTCTCCTCCTTTCCTCTTCGATATCAATAAAAATATGTTTACTTAAAAACAAAAAGGAAATAACAGAACCTGCTCTCATTCAAGTTATGTAGCCATCAAATGACATTTGCAAAATACATATCATGTGGTGAAAAAATTATATGACCTGTGAATATATTAGTAGCCATAATATGATTACTAATACACTCAGCCCTAGGTATGCACATGTACACATGTCCATATGCATGACTATGTATGTGATTATATTTAGACATATGACTTTATCCTCTGATGGCCAGAGATGCCTCCCAGCAGCAGCGACCTGCAGAGCCAAGCACAGAGCCTAGGGTGTGGCAGGAAAGGCTGCCTCATCAGATGAGCTGAAGACCAGCTAGGCCTGCGGGGCACAGGGAATTTCCGCTGAGAATTAAGGAGACACCTCCCTCACCCTTTCTCCATGGACTGGCTGCCTCTCTCTCCCCTGGGATGAGGATGATGCCATCACCACCAGTGGACCAAAAAAAGATAATCTATTGAGATGATACATTTTCTCTTTTTCTGTCTCTCTCCCTTTCTCTCCCTCCCCCTCTCTCTTTTCCCTTTAATTTCATATTCCACACCCACACCTGACAGGAGGGATTAGAATGAGTTGCTTTCCTCTCTGCCCATGTAAAGCGCCTTGTCATTTAATCCCCTCACTGTGTGTTCTCTTCCAGAATAGATATGATTTTCACCCCCGGGCCACCATCGACTCCGAAGCATAAGAAGTCTCAGAAAGGGGCAGCGTTCACCTACCCATCCCAGCAGTCTCCCAGGTGGGGTCTGTGCACAGTGCCGGACAGGCTGTGGGCGCCACAGCCCCTGGGGCGTCCCCGTCCTCGAGTCTCAGTGGTTGCTTTTTGGGTGGGTGAGGTTGCCGGTCCCGGAATGGAGAGTTTGAGGGCTGCTCTGATTTGTGGCCATTTGAAAGGTTTCTGTGCAAACCCTGACCTCCCATCTCTACGCAGACCACGTGGGTGATACTTTGTTTGATGGCTGTTGAAAATGAAAAGCATGGTTTCTTTTTTATAAAATAAGAGGTTTTATTGGAGCCAGTAGAATATTTCATAGTAGCAGAACTCAGCACCCATCCACTCCCACTCCTACCGCGTCATCTTTCACGCCATATTCTAGATTCCGCATGTTTTCCGCTCTTAATATGATGGGACGGATGAAATGCTGACCCCCACAGTATAGAATTTCAGAGGTTAGACCCCTCCCTGCGCCCCACCACGCACACTTGGGGGAGCTCCCAACCAGCAGCCTGAGACTGAGGCCCAAGGACAGTCATTTCAAGGAACCAAGCACTGGGCACAGTCAGGAGCTTGGGTCCGGGATTGAGTGGCCTTTTCCAGCTGCACAAGGGTGCGCGTGGGAGTCATGGCTCCTGGGACCATGGCCCACTGAGCTGAAGCGACATGGCAGAGCAAAACCAGGTGTCACAATCTTATAGGCCTGTTGGCTCTTTCCTAGGAACGAACCCTACCTAGCCAGAGCATCCACATCAGAAATGGAAGACCAAAGCATGATGGGGAAGTTTGTGAAAGTCGAAAGACAGGTAGGTCTTTCCTTTCCTGAACCAAAACTCCAGCATATAAAATTGATTTCCACATGTCACTTTCCTCCCATAGATCAATAACAGACGTGAGTATCTACCATTCCAAAAAGGATGTGGAAATTCAATCCCGATTCCACAATTGCTGGCTGGGTGATCACATGCACATTAATGAATTGCCCTGAGCCTCAGTGGCCTCATCTGTAAAATGGGCATCTTAATCCTCCCTAAGCTGTGAAAACGAAATGAATTGATGCATGTAAATTACCTAGAGCAGGAGTGGGTGTACAGAAAGCACTTAGCAAATGGTAGCTGTCATTCTGTGCTTCACGGTGTTCTCTTAAGAAGTGTTTGTTTCCTTCCCCCTTCCCTAGATCCTTAAGGTTACCCTGGAGAAATGGCACTGTCAGTCGCTATTAGGATTTCTATCCACCCTTTTATTTTATTCATAATTCACAATTGGATCGGTGCAGGAGAGTGAGAGAAAAGCTCAATGATCCTTCTTTTTTGGCCTAAAAAGAATATCATCGTTCAGTTCTAAATTTTAATTTATATTTTAAAAGATCTCAGCCCGTCCACTTACCAGCTCTGTGACTTTTGACAAGTTACTTCATCTGCTAGTGCCTCTGTGTCCTCGCCTGCAACATAAGAGTGATACTAGTATTCGCTTCACAGGGCTGTGAGAAATTAAATGGGGTCATATCTTGGAAGTGCATAAAGTAGAGTCAGATAGTAACTGCTATGTGTTAGTGACTGACGCTTGGGTACCATCTCAGCCATTACCTAATTCTGTGCTGTGCATCCTCATCGGTTGGAGGGGATGATATACCTGCCCAGTGCTTGTTTGGTGAGTATGACTTGTCAGGGAGAGAAGGTCTCACACACACACACGTGCATGCACACACACATGCAGACATGCATGAGCACACAGACACGTATGCAGGCACACATTCACACATACATACTCACATGCGCGTGCACACATGTACACACATATGAACACATGCGCACACAGGCAGGCAGGCACACACACCGCACGCACACCGGCATATGCACTCACAGAGATTAAATAAATCCCTAGTTCGGTAGGTAGGAGCAGACCCAGCTTATCTCTGTAGCTCCCACTGGCTGCCAAGGCCCCCAGGCAGGGTCTCCAGTTCTATGAAGCTCAATCCTTGCTCATCACCGCCCGCATCTTTGGGGCTCACATCACCTCGTAGGAGCAGCAAACCCTACAATCCACATGCTTCTGGCTAAGGGAACGCTTGCAAATCAAGGACTCCCGCTCCTCGACCCACACGGCCGGCAGCCTGGCCCCTTCTCCCAGGGGAGAGGGAAGGCCTGTAGCGCCTGTCCTCGCAGTCCCCGCCTCCAGCCTTCACCTAGGCGGCCTGGGTTATGTCTAGATTTGCACCACTTGGTGCCCAGGGCTTGCAATGGGGAGGCACAGACTAGTTGGCCGTCAGCATCAGGCCTTGCAGGATCCCTCTTCCTTCCCGATAATTAAATGTGGTTGTAGCCTCTCCGACAGGTGACAGGCACCCGCTCCGAGAAGGCAGTGATCTCCCCTCCTTGTGTTCCAGGTGCAGGACATGGGGAGGAAACTGGACTTCCTGGTGGACATGCACATGCAGCACATGGAGCGGCTGCAGGCGCACATCCCCTGCTACAACCCGGCCAAGGCCACCTCCCCGGCCGCGGAGGAGGAGAGAGGGGACCCCCGGGATTCGGAAATGAAAACCATCCTTTGCAACTGTTCTGAGACGGGGCTCCCGGACCCGTCCTTCAGCTTCCAGCAGGTGCCCATCGACAAAGTCGGCCCCTATCGGTTCTTCGCCCACGACCCCGTGGGCCTGCCCCGGGGGGGACCCGGATCTGGCAGGGCTCCCGGGACCCTTTCCTCCTCCACCCCAGCGTACATGGAGCGGCCCACCGTCCTGCCCATCTTGACGCTTCTCCCGTCCCCCACCGACCCACACGGCCTCCGGCAGAGACGCAGCTTCACGCGGGACAGCGACACCCCCCTGTCCCTGATGTCGGTGGACCACGAGGAGCTGGAACGGTCTCCCAGTGGCTTCAGCATCTCCCAAGACAGAGACGACGTGTTTGGCTCGGGCGGTGGCTCGAGCTGGATGCGGGAGAAGCGGTATCTGGCTGAGGGCGAGACAGACACGGACACGGACCCCTTCACGCCCAGCAGCTCCATGCCTCTGTCCTCCACGGGGGACGGGATCTCGGATTCCATATGGACCCCATCCAACAAGCCCGTGTAAAGGGGTCCTGGCTGACTCCGGGGAATGTCCACAGACTGTATAGCTCACTTGCTCTCACGCCTGACACTCACCAGTGCGGTCCCCAGTGGCCACATCCGACGCCTGCATGTGCGTGACGGCCCCCAGCAGGGGCCAGCCATGGCCTGTCCTCCCACGCCACCGCCGTGAAGCCGCTTCCTTTCAGCATGGTCTGCATGCCCTGCACTAGCTCAGTGGTCCGCTCACCTCCTCGGGACACACGCTCACCTGCTCTTCTTCTTTTTGCTCGCGATCGGACCAGTCCAGGGAGAGATCACCCACGAGCTCTTCATCTGTCTGTCTGGTTGGCAGTTTGGGTTTGGGTTTGGTAAGCAGGAAGGTAGTTTAGGTTCTTTCTCTGGTCACCACCCCTTTCTGTAAAACAGGCCCGTGGTTGGTCGGCTGTGTGTGAGAGCAGCCACCAGTGCTCTCACATGCCAGTGAGGGTGTCTCCTGAGCTAAGATGTCAGGAGAGGAGTGAGATAGTCCCACATCGACAAAACCAAGAACCTTCCAAATTGTTTCAGTGAGGCCCAGCCTTCTGAAAGCCCTCCACAGGACCTCGCGTGGTCTGCCATTGTCTAGTGTCATGCCTCAATTTCCTCATTGTAAAAAATGGTGGTTGTCCCAGTGTAGCATTTCCAATGAGTTATGAGTTGGCGGGGAGAAAACACACACACACACATTTAAAGAGTTGCCAATTCCTGTAGCCAAAGATGGTGACATTGATCAGAAGTGGGGTGCCCCTCTGCACAGCAGCCAAGTTCAGTGCCTTCAAAATGAGGTTCCCACTCACACCCTCCCCATGAGACTGACACAGGACACCCATCTCAAGTGGAAACCGGAGTCACAGGGCGCATGGCCTGTCTGGTCCACGTCTCTTTGTAAAACTGCGAAACCTTCGGCCCAGCTCACGTGACGTGCCCGGGGCCACGCCGTTGTCCCTGGAGAGCTGGGCCCGGAGCCCCGTCCGCTGACTCGCTCTGTTCCCTGGGCTCCTGGCCGCACCGCCCTGCCCTTCCTGCAGGGGACCCGGGAATTGTGCCAAGACACCTGCACCCTGTGTCGTGTGCAAAGCACTTACCACAGTTTATCCAGGAGGAGGGAGTTGTCTGCTCTTATTTGCCAGATACACTTCCTGATGCGTTGTGTTTGGGATCCAGAAAAAAAAAAATAGTACAGGAAAGCTACTTGTAATAGTAATTAATATGCAGATGGGCAGTATTTCCAGAACCGTCCATTTTCACTCCTGCAGATTTTTCAAACCACTCCTAACCATGAGACAGCGGAGGTGTCAGCCCCCAGCCTGCAGAGCACCGCTCCCCTGTATGCGTCTCACCGTTAATCACAGGCCTCTTAGGGGATGCCGCTACTCTCTGAAACACTTTGATGGAAAAGGTTTCTGTGAGGTTTGGGCTGAATTCGCTAAATGACGGTTCTGCAGTATTATCACCTCACCCTTTTCCGCACATCTCAGCACCGGTTGAGGATGGTCGCCATGGAGACCATCAGGATGATTGAAATGGCGTAAACAAATGTCTGCATGTAAGTGCCACTGATGTCCTCCCTCAGTCTTGTCAAGAGCCATCAGAGCCGTGGCAGACATCTGGTTGACGCCGTCATCGTTACCCGATGCAGCGGCCTTACATTCCGCTGGAGGGGGGCGCTATCTCCTCACAGTTCAGTTTCTGTCGACAGGGACTGTACCAGAGGCTCAGCATGCGGTGAGCAGGCAGGGCTGCTGCCTGGCCTGAGGAATTCCTGACAGGTAGAAAGCGCGTTTTACATGGAGAGTGCTCTGAATGGCTGGGTGTTGACCTTGCAGGCTGAGGTGGGAAATACACAAGAATGATCACACACATGAGATATGAAACCCCTTCTCGTATGGTTTGCCTTTGACCTTCCAGCCATCTGAAGGGCAAAGGGCAAGGCTCATTGGTTCTCTTCTCGGCTCCCCCACATGCCTGCCAGTGCCATTGGAGTTGGCGCTGGAAAGCCTGAGCCCCTTCCTTAGGGCTTGGTTCTTGATTCTCACCTCCCGGGATCTTTCACCAGAAACGATGGAGCCACCTGCCATCTAACATGTTACTGTGTTCTTTTTTTATTATGAGTTATTTGAAACAAAAAAAAAATGGAGAATGAATCAATCTACATAGGCACCAGTTATTTTCCCCTAGCTTATTAATATTCTTGAAGAACCTGCTAAGCTTGGTATCTTACAAATAGATCCATTTTCCAGGAACTCAGTGGAGTTCTTAGCTGGAAGAGTGGAACTTCTCATCCTCAAGCTAACAGATAATTACCACGGGCCCAAGGTGAGAGGACTGCCTCAGGGTCTGTTAATAACTTATGAAGGAGGGAGCTTGTATTATTTCCCAAACCACTGGGCGGGCAGGCCAGCTTCCCTGCTGGCTCCTAAGGCCAGGATGGCAGGGACTGGGTTCGTGCTCCTCACCACCAGGTCTCCTACATGTGTATGTTGCCATTATCAGTGCAAAGACCGAATACATTTTTCATGAATGAATAAAGGACAAGACTCTTAAGAGCTATTCTTTCCCATCTAAAAAAACAAAACAAAACAAAAGACAAAAACTGAAATCCTTTGCTTCGCTATCCTCTTTGGTTTGAAAAGCAAACCAGACCTGCTCAAGTTGCCTGCCCTTAGGCAATATCACCAACATGGCTGGCGTTGATGAAGCAGAAATTCAAGGTCTAGGATTGAGCATAAGTTATAGGGAGAAAGTGTGTGCTTCCACAAAGATCTTTGTGTCAGAAGAACAGAATGATGGGATAATCCAACAGCACTGGTTGATAATGTGAAGGTTATGCTATTTCAGATACACCAGTGGTTCTGAAGCTTGCCCAGGAAATTGCAGTTTGAACAGAATCCCATGAAATAGTGACCAATTAATTCCATTATAAAGAGTAGGAAGGATTTACCCAAGTGAAACTATGGCCTCGTTACACAGATCCAGGCTCTGTGTGTCGCAGTAAGACACATGAGAATGTGAAGAGGTCATGTTTTATCAGGATCAAAATGAGAAATCTACTTTCCCAGCGTCAGGTAAAGGGATGTCATTAGGCTGAGAAGAAAGTACTTGATACCAAGTGTGAGTTCTGACTATCCAATACCAGCACATGAGGAAACACAAAAAACATTTTTTTTTAATTGTGAGAGAAAGAAACAACAACAAAAACCCCCACCAAATTGAGAAAGTTCTATTCACTAGCTGCTTTTTCTGGGAACAGCTTAGATTTATTAAGACATGACATTGATATTATGAAACTCTGGTTTTCATAAAAAAAAAACCTATCTAGAAAACCCCAAGGTATACTATAGTTCAGAATTAGCTAATTAATTGACAGTTGTGCATTATGCCTTGCCTATTTTGTGCCAGGCAGTTCCTGGACACTGTAAATTGAAAGAATAATTACTTGTAGGAAATCCTAACATAACAGGATCTACTCATAATTTGCCAAGACCATTCTCATAATTTGATGCCACTGTAATGACTGTAATAAAAACATTTACTTATTAATTTACAAGATTAAGCTGTGTGCTGACTCTAGGCAATGCACTTGAAATTCAGAACTATGAAAACCACAGTTCCTGCCATCAAAAAGCTAGAAACTTGGTGGCCTCAAATATTGCAAGTCCCCTCAAACTCTGTGTACCACCAATGGCAAGTCTCTGATTTCATCCCTGAAGAACGCTCTACAGACAGGAATGTTTCCTAGCTTGGGGTCACTGGGAGAGAGAACATGGAAGAAATTGAGAGCAAAAATTCTGCATCAGAACAGTAATGACCCCATCAACCCAGAGAAGACTGAATGGATTGAAGGGGGACTTTGAGTTTGGGTTCAGTGCTTTGGACTTTACAGCCCCAGATAAGCACACGTGAGGAAGGTTCTAGAGTACTTGGAAGGTTCTGGGGGGCAGTCAGGGGAACAGGGTTTTCCTCTCTAAATCCCTACGAGGATTGAGTTCTGGCAAGTCACTGAGCTCCTTTAATTTAATTGTGTTGACCAAGAGAAGCGTGTGGTACAGGCCCAAGACACAGCATCCGTTACAGGAGAAAGGTGGGGCTCCCTGTGGGGTCTGCTGATCAGATTCTTCTGGGGCAGGAGAAGACGTTTATCCAGAGCTCTGAGAAGCGGGCTGCACTTCGGAAAGTGTTGCCAAGCCCACGCCAGGCTTCCCCCCCAGAAGGTCACGTAGCTGGTCTGTTTTCCAGGAATACGCTTCCGAGGCACCTAGAACCAAGGCCTCAGCCTCCACAAAGCACACACGTTTCAGGGGAAATAAGTTAAAATGAGCTCTAGGTACAAGTGCCCTGAGTGAGACTACAACGAAGCCACAGAAGCCTAGCCCAGTGCCTGGGAACATACTCGTCATTCCTCTGGGACTTGTCAAATGAAGGGAAGTTTGATGCCGACGAATAATGAAACCAGCAGAAGCCTAGCCCAGTGCCTGGGAACATACTCATTCCTCTGGGACTTGTCAAACAAAGGGAAGTTTGATGCCGACGAATAATGAAACCTGAGCCTGTTCTTCAATGTCCATTCTCCTCTGCCCTCAAGACGGAGGCCAGGGCAGGGGGAACTGACCCTACGCTCTCTCTGTGAGTTGCCAGCGATGTAATAGTTTTCTGTCTTGACTTCATGCGATCCTCATTGCAGCCCATGGGGGAGGTGTGTGGTCTGCATCCTATAGGCGAGGACACTGAAGTAGGCAGGGGAAATACCGCGCCATGGGTCACTCATTGTAAGAGTAGATCTGGGATCATCATCAAAACCCATGTCCTCCAAAGCTCATTCTCCCCCAGCAAGTCTCCCAGGAAAAGCTGCCAGATCTCGCCCTGTGGTCCTTCACCACCTGGCCTTCCTCCGCCCGGTCAGCTTTCTGGTAAAATGATCACAGACCCATTGCTTCCCTGGAGGAAAGAGAGAGTCCAGTGTCAGTTGCTCCACTTGGTTATTCAGCGGGTCCTGCCTGTGGCTTTGAGTGGTTTCACAAGCCGGCTTCTGTCAGTGGCAGGAAACAGTGCCACCTAAACCATTCATCTGGTTCATGTGGGAATCCGTCGGACTTTTTCAAGGAGAGGAGAGCAGCTCCCCCTTCCACACGCGAGGGCTGTGTCCAGGCGGGAGGCCAGGTTCCAAGATGGGTGGAGTCATTTTATCAAGTGTCGGAGGTTTTGCTGCTGGAGACAGAGGCAGGCTCCATCTTGAAAATCCCCGTACAAAGATGGGCCGATTTCATCAGCTCTGTGCATCATTCCATTTTAATGAGAAAAATGCGCTCTCTGTTGCTTCCGATGTGATATGGCTGTTCTTCTTTTCTCCTTCTAATGTAGCAGTGATGGAAAACAGAGACTCACTGTATTTGCTTTGGGACTGTATTTTCTTTAACCCCCTTTTACGGCATAGACATCTGGTGCCTTGCTCCCTGCCA